TCTCGTTTGGTTGGGCATATTAGCTATTATTAATTAAATAGTTGGATTTAGTTTGATGCATGGTATATGGAGTATGGGTTGACCCGCAAGTAGTATATTATCACATTTATTTTGCCTTATAGGATTTCTTTTTGCTGGATGTCTTCGGGTTCGATAAAATAATTGGATTGTCATTGGATTATTTAATTATATCTTGAATAATCTTATCGTGACAACCAAACAAGGCATAAATTTTACTCCACTTATTGGAAGCTGTCTCACCTTTCAAAGTCCCTTCACGTCTGACTTGTCCTCCTCTTCTATTTCCCAACTTCGTTTTCTATCTTTGAAAGAGAAAAAAAAAACTTTATTCTCTTGCATAGTCACACTAATAGCGATTAAATTGGCATCCACCGGCGATCAATTAACGTTTGACGTCTTCTCTCTCATCATGATTATTATGATGAATATTAATTAGAAGTTCATTGTTTAAATTTCATAACCGACTTGATACTCATGTTTCTCTGATTTTTATAGCAATTTTTAGCTTTCACGATTCGCCTCGGTGTTATCTCCTGAAAATGGAGGAAAAATAAAATTCATATCAAATTTTCGTTTTAAATTTCTTTGATAGCAAATTTTTTTTTTCGAGAGCTCTGCCTCCGAATCCCCGATGTGTTTAGGCCCCCTCACAAAATTTTCTGGCATGCCACTTGTAGTCACGTCTCAAGGTTTTCAAAGAAGGCCCACATGTTTAAGGCCCAAAGAAGAGACGTACACACCACGATCTTTAGAGCGCGTGACAAACATCAACCTCAACAAAACAAAAACATGAGTCAACGCCAACAAAGCAGATGAGGAACAACAAGTACTGAAATCCACCCAAACAAAACCCAAATTCGCCTGTAAAAAGCAAAAAAAAAAAAAAGAAAAACAATGGGAGCTTTCTCAACACTTTCACCACCGAAACCATGTCTCCCCCACAACAACAACAATCCCCGATTCCCAAATCAACCCACCAAAACCCCATCCGTCAATTTCGCCCCCCATCTCCCAACACCATCAAAACCAAACCCCTTCTCCCGCCTCGCCCTAGAGTCGTCTTCGCCGCCGAACCACGCGCCGCCGCCGCTAGTGGTGGTGGGATCCGCCAATGCGGATATCTACGTCGAGATCGACAGATTGCCTAAAGAGGGCGAGACCATATCCGCCAAGAACGGGCAGACATTGGCGGGCGGGAAGGGGGCGAACCAAGCAGTCTGCGGCGGGAAATTAGCGTACCCGACTTACTTTCTGGGGCAGGTGGGAGAAGATGCTCACGGGAAGCTGATCACGGCGGCGCTGGAGGGCGGCGGGGTGTTTCTCAATCACTTGAATTCCGTGGCGGGTGCTCCCACCGGCCATGCCGTTGTGATGCTGCAGTCCGATGGGCAGAACTCAATTATCATCGTTGGAGGTGCTAACATGTCTTGCTGGCCGGAGAATTTGCGCCGGGAGGATTTGGAGGTTGTGCAGAGCGCTGGGATTGTTTTGCTTCAGAGGGAGATTCCTGATTCTGTTAACATCCAGGTTGCCAAGGTGAGAGCTTTAACATCGGGTTTTTCGTTGCGTGTTTTCCAATTTGAATTTGACGATGGTGTGATTTAGAATCGGGGCATTTTGTATAGAAGCCTTATCGTATAGTTGTTATTATGAACTGCAGTCTTGATTTTGAATGATTTATTTCTTTGCGCTTTGTTTTGGAGTTTTCGGGTTTTAGCTTCTTTTCTTCGTTTAGTTATTTAGCCGACCGTGTGGTTGCTGGTTTATTGGAAGTAGGTTTGGATGACGTTATTGCAATCGATGAGGATAGTTCGATTTGCTTCTCGTATATTTCTTCGTTACCTAAGTTATGTCAACATATCAAATTAGAAAAACTTCGTTGTTTCTTAAGAAAGAAACAAGAAGCTCGTATGGATATTGGATTTGTTGGAAGAGAAGCGGTTGTTATCAGCAATTTTCCCCTAACCATGCAAAATGGTTGGTTGGTTCTTGTTTTGGAGTTGCTGATATCTTCGTTCTTTAGAAAATCTATAGTTTTTAAGTTGATGAATAGGTATTGAGTTAAAAATTTGGGAATTCGGCTTCTTTATTTCTTGGAGATTAATATAGATACGGTGAGGATTGTGACTCCGTGGTTCAGGACCTTGTATTTATACCAGGGGTAGATTACGGCCGCCCCTGAGCTATGGTCAAATTACGAAAAAACCCCTCTTGTTTGGATAATTACAATTATCCCCTCAACTATGAATCTACTTACACGTCCACACTTATGGTGTCAAATTCAAACATAATCTTCTAATTTCGTGGAATATTCTCTAGTTTGTACCCGTTTTGTGCAAAAATGCAGTTTCAGATGCACCACAATCACAATCTGATATTTACAAGCTAAGAGACACATCTTATGATCATCTTGTTTCAAAATGTGGAGCTCGAATGGGTATAACGGGTACAAACTGGAAAATATTCCACATAATTTAGAAGATTTCACTTAATTTGACATCGCAAGGGTGGACGTGTAAGAAGATTCATAGTTGAGGGGTGGTTGTAATTGCCCAAACATGAGGGAGTTTTTTCGTAATTTGACCTTACCTCAGGGGTGGTTGTAATTACCCTCTATACTAGAGATGAATGCATCAGAATGGAATTTAGATGCCAAATGACAATTTTGGGCAGTTTAAAAATACTGCAAAGAGAAGCCTTCATAACAATATATTTAAGACTATACAGTCCTGCATATATATTTTTCTTTTGAACATGTACATAATTCGTTATAGTTCATCGGGGGTCTTAGTTTTGGCAGATGAATTATCAACCCATTATATAAGGGGTTTCTTGGACTCTTGGGTACAGGTTATCTAGAAGAATAAAATACCGAGGCAAATAATGTTGAACTAGAAGGGTTATTCTGTTACGTTAAAATGAAAATGAAATCAAGAGCATTTGTAAAATTGATTACATTGTTGAAGAGATGTGCATGTTCTTTAACGATTAATAGTTGTCGTATTTTGGTCTCATGTTTAGCCACGATGTTGTTTGTTTAGCTTATTAATTGTTTATATACTCAGGCTGCTCGGAGTGCCCATGTTCCAGTAATCTTGGATGCCGGTGGAGTCGACGCACCAATCCCTCGAGAGCTACTAAATTTTATCGATATATTAAGCCCAAATGAAACCGAACTTGCTCGTCTGACAAATATGCCTACAGAAACTTTTGAACAGATTAGCCAAGCTGTCGGAAAATGCCATGAATTGGTTAGTTTACCTAATGTTGATTGCATATAAGGTTCACCTCTTTATTCATTGTATTCACTTCTCTCACTGTAGTTGCAAGGAGTTCATTATAACTGGGAAAAGTTAGGCATGTGTCATTGTTTGTTGGGACGTGATAAATGTCGTTTCAGTTTTAATACTACCGTTTCAATTTCAAACGTGATTTTGACCATTTTCGAGTCTGGCTTTAGCAAACCTCAAAACACGAAACGTGTAGCTCTTTGATGTTATTCATGCATAAATTTGTCTCTAGATATCCAATCTAGCTGATTCGAGTTGGATTAGAATTTTTTTTAATCTCGCCAAAATCAGACTAGAAAATGGTCAAAATCACATTCGAAGTCAAAACGGTATTAGAAAAAATTGACACGAAACTTAACACTTCAGTTGTTATAACATCTAACAATACCACCTTCTAGTTCTAATTACAATTTTCTATAAAATGTCATCAAAAAAATTCCTTCTTCGAAACGATAAAAGAGAGTAACCGATTAAATTCATGAAAAATAAATGCTCCTCGTTTCCTAATTTTTTCAGGGTGTTAAGCAAGTGCTTGTGAAACTAGGGGCAAAAGGGTCTATTCTTTTCACACAAGGAGAGGAACCAATCAGACAATCTATAATATCGGCTCCGAAAGTAATTGACACCACAGGAGCGGGCGATACTTTTACTGCTGCTTTTGCTGTGGCTCTTGTCGAGGGAAAAACGAAACGGGAGTGCTTGAAATTTGCTGGTATGTAAATCAGGAATATTCCTTTTCGAATGTTTGTGGTATATTCTCTCTCTGTCTAACGAAGGTTTTGTAACCACTTGATTTTCAGCTGCTGCCGCTTCGCTTTGTGTTCAAGTAAAAGGTGCAATACCGAGCATGCCTGATAGAATATCTGTTCTGAATCTTCTAGAGACTGTTTGAGGACTGTCCTATTTTTCCGTCTAGGATGTAATAAGAGGTACTTTTACTTATTGACTTGTCCGATTCTTTTTATGTTACGGACGGGTTTTGAATTTATAATAAAAAAAATCGCTCGAGATTGTGTTGGTTAATCTTGATTTTAAATCCGTGGAGTCGTTATTTTGAGCTATTGAGTCGTGTTTTTTGGATTTTAATTTTGTTTATATTGTTGTCTCTTTTGAAATATTTCCCGCATATTATCTCTTCAAATACGAAAAGAATTTGTATTTAAAGAAAAATTCACATGTCGATATATGTTTCGGTATATTGTAAGAAAATATAAGAGGGATCTGTTTGATGTATTAAATATAGAAAATAAAAATAAAATAACAGTCGGAACGACGAAGAAGAACGTATGAACATGCCCGCATCGGTTTTTGCATGTGTTATTGGTTATAATACGCAATTCTTGCATATACTAACTTCATTTCTATGTATATTTGTTGTTCAATTAGAAATGAGTTGATCTATATAGATGAACTCATAATTTTACTTGCCCAGGCCCCGAATCTCGAGACAATTATCGCTTCCAAGAAAAAAAAGGAAAAGGGTATTATCGGCCTCAAATTCGTTCAAAGTTAATAAAAACAATATTTTATCAGTACGCAACAGTTGAAAAATCGACGTCTATATCCATTTTCGGGGTAGCCCGTTTTGTTTGTTTAGGTTTCTTAACTTTTGGAATGCCCTCTACCAACGACACGGAGTTAGGATGTAAATAACTTGAATCGAGTCGAATGTATTACTGTTTGGTCTTTATTTCAATTTCATGGAATTTTGGAAAATGTTGTTTTATTTTGGTTCAAATAGAGCTCAAACGAAACCTTATTGAATAAGTTGAACCATGATCTTTTGAATCGAAACGAAAAATATGATCAAGTTATTGTTATGCGAAAGATTTTATTTTATTTCCAATCATATACGGCAATGGTTATTAAAATCTTACGATTTATGATTGAAATCTTACAATTCGATTCCTACCTAAATTGATTCAAATTTATGATCAAAACTTAAATGTCAAAAAATCTTTTAAATATTACGATACACGATTCGATTCTTACGGTTTGCGATTTTTACGATTTTGAGGAAATTTAAGTTTACTGTATTTTTTTATGATAAAATTCAATGAACAATATATTAAACTTTAACTATAAATAGTTAATTTGATGAATTGAAATAGATGTTATATTTTTTTGATTTTATCGAATTGAAGATTTTGTTAAAACACATATTGAATTCCAAAACCGATCGAGATATAACTTTTATAGTTTGACTTCATAAATTCGGAAAGACATTTTTGTTATTACAATTTACACTATATAATTTCTTTATAATATTTATATATCCTTATTATCTATATTATCTTATTGATTTCGATGTATGATTTAAGTTTTTGATAAAACGATTTGCGATTCTGTTGAATATTCGACTTTCAGAGTCAACCATAATTAAATTGTTTTGACTTTCTTTAATCAAGATTATGTGCATTTAATTCATTATTAATGGGGTTTATGAAAAATTGTTAGTGGGCGGTTATTAGTTGACTAGTGGGTAATTATCTTAAGCACATGTTTTTATTATCTCACTAATCCATTATTCCATTAACCCATAATCTCTTCTAGTATGTGATTTCGTGCCTGGGAGTTCTCGGACTCTATAAACAGGAGACGATCTTAGATAATTTGTCACCAATTTTCTGAAGCGAGCAAAGAGCACATAGCTTAGAGTGTTAGAACAGTCTCTACAACACCTTGTTTTCTTTATGAATCTCTGATTACATAATTGAGTTTGCCTTGTATTCAATCATACCGAATACTGATTTACATTTCTGGAAATGCTTATTAGTTACGTAGTCTAGAAATTGATGTGCAAAAAAGCCATCCTGTGATTTCTTCATAGAAGAGGAGATCTTGACTTCTCATTTGCATTCCCTTGAATAATGTTTTAATAAATTTTTCGCCTTTAAAGGCATATCGACAAATAATATACTTGTGGATAAATAAATCAAAACCTGTGTTATTTATATTCTGCTTCACATAATTTTCTCAACACAAGCTTTTATTTATTGTTTGAAAAAATATCTAATCTTACATCTATTTATACGAATTTAGAGACATTGAATTCTTTCAAATTCAATTTACGATTTAACAACCATCCATATACTACTTCTTTTAAAATGGACCATGGGGTTGGAGAAATCTAAACGAAATGACTTAATCTAAGTCCATGTGACACGAATCATGCCATAATATCTGCCTGTTTATGATCCAAGATGGCATTCTTCCTAGAATAAAAAATATTGAATTGTGAGATTCAATGCTCTTTGAGTTCTCTCTCTCTCTCTCTAAAATTTGGTCCAATTAAAAAGCAAAAAAATATTTATTTATTTATTAAAAAAGAAAAGGTATCAGTCTTGCCCCTAAAACGTACTAATCTAAAAAAAAACTATGTGCTTCCTTTGACTGAGAAGGCATAAAACATCAAAGTTATAACTTAGTTGCATGTTTGGTGATATATCATGAAAAATGTTCCAAAGTGCTACCATTAGTTTCAATAACAAGCAAAAATTATGGTTTTTAGAACATACATCGGGTGAAATACACTATATAATTTTACATCATTGATCTATACATAATAAGACACGTTCATATGCATATATGTGCCCTGTTGATACTTATTTATGTAGAACCCACGGTTTAAAATTATATAATGTATTTTAAATCATATGGTGTATTTTAATAAGTGTAGATATCAATCTCCTAAGGCCATGTATAATATATGGTATTATTGTTATAATTATTATTATTATAATGAGAAGTTGAAATAGATTGAGAATTGTGACCAAAATTGAATGGACAAGTCATGTTGGCTGCAAGTTGCGAAAGAGTTAAATAAAGACAAGTTGTTGACCCATCACATATTTATTTCTTTTATTAAAAATAATTTAAAACAAAAATAAAAAAGAAAACGTCTTCTATCAATAGGATTGCAAAATCTCACAATTGGATCCTATCCAACGTAGGCAATATTCTTGAATTCTTAGATTTTTCATTCCATTTTCATTAGTAAAAAAAAAAAAAGAAAAAAGGAAAAATAATCATAACATATGATTAAACACAAAAACTTCCCTAATTATTTTATATCTTATATTTAAAAGAAAGAAACGCTGGGCAACCCTAAAAAACCATAATGGTATTTCTGTAATCATTTATTTTTAATATTTTTCTCAACTAATTTCTAACTATAATTTTTAACAATTATTAATCTCCTATTTTTCATCAATATATCTCAAATCTTAATTGATAAAGCTAGAAATTCGGTTTGTTAACTCTTAGTAAATTTATTTGGATTATAAATCTTAATATGTAAGATTTACAAAAACTAATGTTATTTAAAATATGAATAATACTACATTTTTCATTATTAATCGTAAAAAAAGGAGGAGATATCTCAAATTATTAATTTGTATCTATTGTTTGGGTCGATTTGAACTCGTCAATTAGTTATAGAAAAATAAAATAAAAAAATACCTTAGTGTTACTTTAAACAAGATTTTCATTGAATATATTTGTGGCCTACATTATGGGTATCTCATAAAAGAAACAAAGATTGCAGCTGAAATTTCATTTTCTTTGTCTTGTTTGTTTTTCATGTGATGCACATCTCCATCACCTTATGTCTCAATCATGTGGGTGAGGGGTTCACTTCATCTTACCTTTCACTAGTTATTATGGACTATACACAAAAATAAATAAAAATAATACTAATAATTTTTTTTAATAATAATAATAATAAAATTAAATCCTTGAATATGGATTGTGGCCATATATCATTCATTGATTTTCCTTTCTAATTAATCTCAACTGGTAAAATGTACCGACATCCTTATGAATTAGTGCTATCAGTTCTTGAATGTACCACCTGCAAGTCTGTATTTAGCGAAATAAGACAGCGTGTGATTTTCAAGTAAATGTAAGTGTAAGAAATTTAAAATGGGAGAGAGTATAGTGTGTGAAAATTCCTATAGTTGATTAATAAACTAAAGTATTAATTAAATGTATTTGTCCCTAAATCTAGAGTAAACAAAAAATGAAGTCATAATTAATTTGAGTCTTGAGACCTCTAAAATTTTATTAGTATATTTGCAAGCTACGCGTTTGCCTTACCGACGGACCGACAAAAAGTTAGAAATAGTAACATAATTGAAGAAAATAATTTGGATATATGTAGATATATCATTCCCAAAACATCCATAGAAAGAAGTAGGGGCAATTTTTTTTTTTGGGGTTGTTTTGTTTTGGAGTTTTTAAAATGGGGTTATTTTTGAAGTAGTAATTAAATTGGTGTTGGCCGCCACCGGGAACGGCGGCATCGGACGGAGACGCCACCGCCGGTGGCGGCACCAGGAGGAGACGCCGCCACCAGTGGCGTCTTCTACTTTTTAAATTAATATTTTAATATTTTAATATTTTAATATTTTTTAATATTTTATTATTTTAATATTTTCTTATTTTATAATATTTTTATTATTTTTTAATATTTTAATATTTTAATATTTTCTGATTTTTAATTTTTTTGTACAAATAAAACAATTCTAACTACATTTTATTAAATTTATTACATTTTATCAATTAGACTTATTACAGTTTATCAAATTAGTGTTAAATTAATCAGTGCATATATTTATCTAATCTACAATCTTAAAAACATGTAGACAAAAACAAAAGGAGTTCTAGAAAATAAAAGAGTTATATAAAATAAATAGGTCAAATAAAAGAGTTATACAAAATAAATAGGTCCAAAATGAGAAAAAAGACAAAATGAGTACAAGAAATTAAAATTGGCACTATGAAGTCAGTGCCTATGTGAACCAGTGCCACATGCAGGTGCCCGTCTAGTCCTACGCGGCCTACCATCTCGACGAATGTCAGGATCTGCCGGTACATCATCAACTAACTGGGTGTCATCTGGTGGATATGGAACAGGGGAAACATTATACTGTGGTCGCTCTTGGGGACTTGAGTATCCCAAATTGAGCTCCAAATGTGGACCCCATGAAGAGAACCGGGTATCAATAGCAGGAGGATGTGGGGTAGCTAGAGAATCGGACCATGGGATATCTGGAA